CCATCATGCACATGGTCTGGAGCCCAGCAGCCGGTGCAGCCCTTCTTCCCAGCAGAAACCTCCTGAGGCTGGTCTTCACTGGAAGAATTTCTGTCAGCCTTCTGGTCTCCTGACCAGAACCTCCCAAACAGAGCAGCCTAAGGTGTGGCAGCTCTTCTTTTTCAGCCAGCATCTCCAGACCTTTCCAAACTCTTCCTACCTGCCATTCCCAGAATCTTCTGAACCACACAGTCAGGTATAGTCCCAGCGATGACACACTTCTCTGGTACCAAATTCGACCAGAAAAGTACCAAAAGCTACTTTTCTGAATGCTAAGACAAAAATACCTGACACCGAGAGTTAAAAGGAAATGGTTATTTAGCTCGCAGTTTGTAGAGGGTTCAGCGAGTTGTGGCATTACGCTCCAAGACTGAGGGCCAGTCAGGTTACCCGACGATGGCCGTGCCGTTCGGGCTGCGAAGTGGCTGTTCTGCTGCAGACTCACCACTCCGTGGCAGAGCAGCCTTTGGAGAGACACAGGGAAAACAGTCCCGCTCCCTGCGAGCGGCTTGCTTGTTAATGTTGTGCTGAGCGGGCAGCACGGCCCACCCAGCTTGCAGCGCTGGTTCTGCCCTTGCTCACTCCTGTCTGCAGCCCCTGCCCCGTAGGCACACAGAATGGTGGCCTTACTTCCCAGACGGATCTTCTAAGAGTGACACTGCTTGCAAAGCGTTTCCGCCTCAGGGAAACTCTCGCTGGTTCTGAGTTCTATCTGCAAACTGAGCCTAAATAAGGCGTCTGAGGCCCCTCCCGCTTCTGCATCTTCAGACCTCTCAGGGACTGCGTGCATGAGTCTAGGTGTGGCATCTAGGTCCCTGGTGTTTGAGCGGCGGCTCTTTGTGCTGGTTTGATGTGTGAGGAAGACATTCAGCCGCCCTGTCAAGTGGCTTGTCCTTGTCCTGCATTCGAAGGCTCCTTTTGGACCTCTTCTCTGCAAAGCTTCCCCCCCCTGCAAGGCGGAGTGTCTAGGACAGAAGTGCGGACACAGCTAGCTAGCCTCAGGAGTGGGAGGCGGGGCTTTCCCTCGTGGGCAGGAATGCCTGGCCCCACCCTTGGATCAAGGATTTGCTGTGTATCTTGTTTCTTCTATAAACAGCTCTTGTGTTAGTGATAATTCATAATCTGGTCTTAAAGGACCAACTGAGGTACTTTTGAAAGACTAGAAAGAGCACATAAAGCCAGGGCATTGTTATGGGCGGATCTCATTTGAAGTTTCATTTGTCTCTATAATCTGATAATTCTGCAGTTGTGCAGAGAGTCTCACGTTTAGGGAGGGTGGAAGAGCTCAGGTCATGGTTTAGGTTCGCAGGATTCAGAGGTCATTTTTAGCTTAAAAATTTTTTTTCTCAGTCCACATTTGTAGTATGTGGTGACTACATCCGTCGTGGGGAGCTGGCGCAGGGACGCGGGAGGAGTGTCCCTTCTCCCCTCCTCCTCCGCCTGCCTTTGGCTCTTAATTCTCTCCCTTTTGCAAAAGTCTTCTCTCTATTTCCTGCTCTCTGTCTTATTTTGCTCTTGATTTATTTGAGATTCCAGCAGGGAAGTCACAGCTGATTGAGCGAACATGTATTTCTTCATCCCCAGGATGCTGCAATCTAAAAGCCACGGAGTTTATTTTATTCATCAATAAATGTTGGCACTGTTGACTCCACTCGCAGTTGTGAAAGTCCAAGGACTGTTTGTGGGATGGGTTTTATTATAGCTCATTGTCATGCAGGTTTAGTTTTCTTTCATGGTAGATTTACGTGCTGATAACTGTTGCTTTATTGTCACAGTTCTCTAATTTGTAAAATAAAGGCGGAATTAAACTCTAAATGGTTCTATAGTAATTTCCTCCCAACTTTGTTTTATTCTTTTGAATATGCTGAATTTCATTGAACACTTGGGTACTTTAACAAGCTCCGTAGCAACGCATGCCACGACCCCTACGTTATCTCAAATCGGCAGTTCTTATGATTAAAAATAAATTTGAGGGCTGGTGAGATGGCTCAGTGGTCTAAAGCACCTACTTAGAACAAGCTTTAGCAAAACCCAGGGACCACGGTTCAATCCCCCAGCACCACATGCCAGCCAGCCCGCCCCCTGGTGGGCTGAGCTGGCCACACACACACACACACACACACACACACACACACACAAATAAATAAATAAAATTAAAAAAAATAAATTTGAGATCTGATGTAAACAGGTGCACAGCGGTGATTTCTAAGACCCTGAAAATATTTTCTCTTTTTCACTGGCAAACTTTTTCCTTACGTATTTATAGCCCTAAGGAAGAGGCAGCAGCACCACTTTTGCTGGCCGACTGTCTCCACTTCCCTGCAGCGCTAGGGCAGGCCGCGCGGTTTGTGCTGGAGCTGCGGGGCCGTGGGCTGCGTGGGCTGCGATGCGCGTTTCTGGGTCACTTCCTACTCATGGTGGGGACGGGGCAGGAGAAGCCCCTGGAGGAGGACTTTCAACACGCGTCCCAGGTGGCCTCTCCCGCGCTCAAACCAGCCCTGCGGGTGCAGTTTTAGGAACCCTCTGTTCAACGACGGTGGAAAATCCTTCCCCAAACATGCTTTTGTTTCTCTATCGCTCTCCTAGAAGTGGAGAGCGACACTATTCCTAGCGTCTCCTCTGCTCCGCGGCGTTACTGTCTGTTTTGTGCGTTTAAAACATCTCGCCTCTCTCCTCTTTTAAGAGGAACTTTGAAAAATGGAAAAATAAAATTAAAGGTAGGTCAACCGGAGAGAAATTTTCTACAAAGTGATGAAAGATACTGTCTCTGTTACTCTTCTCTCGTTGCTGGGACAAATACCCGGCACTCAGAATGAAGGCAGGAAAGGTTTATTTAGCTCACAGTTACTGGAGGCTTCAGTCCTTACTCAGCCAGCTCCGAGGCAGAGCGGTACGTGGCAGAGGGCAGCCTTGCATGACGAAGAGCAGGAGCAAATGGGAGGAGGAGCAGCAGTGCCGCAGGGAAGAAGGCTCTCTGTCTCTTTTACGTTACATTCAGGCTGTCTGCCCCAGGCTAGGTATAGCAATCACATCTATAATCCCAGGAGTATTAAAACCCATAATCCCAGCAGTACTCAGACCCATAATCCCAGCCTTGGATCATGCATGAATCACAAACTATAGAACTGCACCTCTGTATGACTGCATGAGGCTTTTGGGGGACAAATACATATAAACCCTAACAGATACTATAAAATATAAACAACTGCATTTATTTTTTTTTATATTTATTTATTCATTTATTTTGTGTGTGTGTGGCCAGCTCAGCCCACCAGGGGGCGGGGCTGGCTGGCATGTGGTGCTGGGGGATTGAACCGCAGTCCCTGTGTTTTGCTTAGCTTAGCTTGTTCTAAGTAGGTGTTTTAGACCACTGAGCCATCTCACCAGCCCCAACAACTGCATTTAAATGAAAAGAAGACCGTAACCAAGTCAATAGGAAACAAGATAAAAGCTTGCAGGCAGCGTCCCTGAGCCTCTGCCCTCTGAATCCCGGGTTTACGTGAAACCACTCCCTTTGTTTGCAGGAGTGTAAATTGAGCCCAGAGTTCTTGTGCTGCGCTATGGACCCAGCCCTTTCAGTTTTTATTTTGAGACAGGTTCTGACCAACTTGCTCTGTGCCTAGGCTCGGCTTGAACTTTCGATCCTCCTGCCTCAGCCTCCCAGCGTGCTGGGATTACAGGTGCGAGCTACCACATCTGGCTAAAAAGAAAACCCCCCTTTTAACCAATAACCTTTTCTCGCCCTTGTCTTCTTCAATACTTTGCTTTTTCTGTCTGCAGCCACAGGGCTGCTCAGATTTCAAAATTCCACTTGTTCATTGCCGTGCAGTAGGACATACTTGACTGTCTTCAACATTTCACTCTGCAGCCTTGTTCTAACCTCTTATTAGCTCCAGGGTATTGTTTTGGAGGAGTCAACTCTTTTAGAATTTTCTGAGGTAATTGGGTCTCCTAAAAACAGACAGTTGTGCCTCTCCGCCTTCTCCCTTCATCTCCTGTCCTCTTTGTATCTCCCTGCATCTGCCAGGACTTATGGTCAGGGTCAGGGTCAGGTCAGGGTCAAGTCAGACTCAGTATTAGGTCAGGCTCAGGTTGAGGTCAGCCGTAGGGTTAGTCTGACTTTGGGAGGCTGTGGGCTGTGCTGTCCCTGCCTCTCTTCTCTTCTTCGGGGAGACTCAAGCTGTGCCCTGCCAGCTCCCTCTTGCTGCTGTTCCCCTCTAAGGAGCGGAAGCTTCCTCTTTTCTCATTGATAGAATTTTTTTTAAACCAGGAGTGGCTGTTCTGCTTCAAGAGCTGTCTTTTGGGCACTGACTTCTGTGATCCTGTGATGTCTCTTTTCCAGACTTGATGGGCCGTTTTGCAGAGATGGGTTACAGAGTGTTGATAGGGAGTTTCTTTAGACTTGACTTGAAGACACACGTGCCTGGCGGAGGCTCTCCAAGTTCCCTGCTGTCTTTGTTCCCAGCCGGGATGCCTGTCCTGGTACCCACCAAGGTCTCTGGCGATGCTGTGACTGCACAGCTGGGCATTTTGCTCTTTGGGTCTCAGGGGCGCTCTCAGCAGCGTGCTGGCAGCTGTCCAGGGCTCCTGACCTCTCTGGCCCTCACCCTGCCCTGTCCCTCGTCCTGTAGAGGAAACCGCTGTCCCTTTCCTCTGGCAACTATCGGCTCCAGGGACAGCGAACACCGGAGGCCCAAGGCGAAGAAATGAAAAAGCAAAGAAAAACTCACAAAAAGCCGCTCTATGAGTAGTGTGTGCAAGGAGAGCAGTTTTCCAGTTGTAAACCCGTATCTCTTCCTTCCCAGCGATAGCTCACATTTTGGAGGAGGGGCCTGTCCTGGCCGTTTAACAGAAAGCACTTTGCTTTTGGCCCCAACAGCCCCAAAGGCTTGGGGAGGAGACTGACCGAGGCGAGAGAGCCCCACTGTGGAGTCAAATCCATTCACTCGAGGATTTTCTAGGTTCCAAACTGCTGCTGACGACAGGGCGGTCAACAGCCTGGGCTTTTTAGAAGAGATGCAAGACCTGGCCGAGGACATTTACGAGACGGCGAGCAAGGCGAAGCACCTGCAGAGGCTCTGGGGAGAAAGAGTCCAGGCGCCAGGCAAGTGACCGCTCGTGCCTGCGGCCATGCCCAGTTGGGCACCCTGGGAGCCAGGGAGGCATTGTTGTTCAAGTATTTTCTCGTGTACTCTATAATCCAGAAAAAAATCTGAAAAAAATCAGAATTTCACTTTCTGTTCCACCTTCAACAGTTTCCTTTCTTTGCTTCTCCGTGTTTGTCCTTCACACCCTCTCCACCTTGCTCTGCCTGCTTGCTGGCTTTGGTGGAGTTAGCGACTGACCAAAGCCAAACTATCCTGTACGAGCCGCTGGGACTTGGGTTACCAGTTATGTTTTCTTCCAGAAAATTGTGTAATGTCGCAGTGGCCTGGGGAGGGACAATGCTAATTTGCTAAGGCTTTCTTTCTCTTGGCAACTGTCCTTGTCCTTGGGGCTCTGGAGCTTCACTGGACCTGAAAACTATGTCACTCAGCATGTGCTTTTGGGCTGGAAATTGAACTAATCTCTTAAATCTGTTTTATTGTAGATTCTTCTGGTTCCAGTTTTTTAACAGTGAGTATCTTAATAAAAGTTCGAGTATCTGTTAAGACACTGCATTATATTTAGTTCATATTTTCAAATGATTTGATGCTTGTTGTTGTTTCTTTGACATGGGGTCTGGCTCTATAGTTCAGGCTGACCTTGAACTCCCTGTGTAGCCCAGCTGGGCTAGGAACTCAGAGAGATCCTCCTGCTTCAGCCTTCTGAGTGCTGGTATTACAGGTGTGCACCCCCACACCTAGCACAAGTGATTTGGTTTTATGTAGTATATATGTTGGAGGCGTACTTGGGAGCCACATTCCCTGCAGACTCCCAAGATGAATGTCAGCTCCTTAGCCTGGGCTCCGGTGGCTGCTGAGGCTCACAGAGACCCTCTGCTGGATGCGCTCCATTCACTCCGAACTTGAGTGAGCCTGAGATTTGATGTTGACTCATGCCCTCTGACCCCACGGAGCCTCCGGTACCTCGCCGGTCATCTGCGGGCGTGGCTTCTCCTCCTGGCTGCCCCAGGGACCTGTGCCTAGGTCTGGATGCTGCTGTGGTTGTCACTGCTGGGGACAGGTAGGGAGGCTGGTGCTGGCTGTGGGGAGCATAGGCCGGAGCTGCTGCCGGCACCTTCACCAGAGATGAACCAGGTGGGGGCCTCAGTGCACAAGGATGGGGGCAGAGTCGGGTGCAGCCCTGGCGTCGGGCTCTTCCTTGGCGTTGCCGGCCCATGGCAGCAACAGCTACACACGTGCGTGGCCCTGCCTGATCCTAAGAAGGACTTAGTTTAGGAAAGAAGAATGTATAATAAAACTACTAGAAGAAAACTAAAAGAATCCGAATGAGGGCCGGTATGAGCCAGAGATGGCAGCCTGTCCGCGTGTCCTTGTGTGTAACCCTAGGAAGCAGTCACCGCGGGGCTGACAGACACGCACCAGGTCCAAGGGAGAGTATTACGGGCCATGCAAATGAGGAGTCTTAAACTAGAGAACTTAAAGACAGGAGACGCCGTGCCTTCCCCTGAGCAAATTAGCACTTTTATGTATGTATATAGTTATTTCTTTTTGGCAGAACCGGGGATTGAACTCAGGCCCTTGCGCTTGCCAGGGAAGTGCTTATTGTACTGAGCCATCTCCCTGGCCCCCAAATTAGCACTTTTAAAGGAAATTATGAGACCCACTACCTGTCATATTGTCGCCCAATGATACCATCAGCAGGGAGAGCCTGAGCTTGCCTGGCAAGCGCAAGGGCCTGAGTTCAATCCCCGGTTCTGCCAAAAGGAAATAACTATATACATACATAAAAGTGCTAATTTGCTCAGGGGAAGGCACGGCGTCTCCTGTCTTTAAGTTCTCTAGTTTAAGACTCCTCATGGATGCAGTAACTTTTGAAAGCAATGCCCGACATCCTCTGTCCCCACAGTCATTCTGACAGCGTGTCTCCCTTGTACAATACAAGGGAATTACAATGATATTGGTTAGCAGTGACGGGTAATTTTAGTGTCCTAAAGTAGGGCCAGCAGACGTGGACGGCTTATTTAGCCCGGCTGCTTCTGACGGACGCGGTGTGTGGATCACGTGACCGCGACATGCGGAGGGCGGGGAAGGCCGTGCCGTGTCCCTGGTGTGAGCGTGATGTTCCGATGTTGGCAGCACTGGGGGCCCGAGCTGAGGAAGTCCTAGGACGGCAGGTGACCGTCCTGCTGCGGAATTTCTAATGCTGAGGTCATAGTTTTGGTGTTGCTTTGAGTACAGTGGCCACGGGGAGACTGTGGGAAAGGGGTGGCGGGCCCGAGGTGGACCCCAAGGGTCTTTCTGGACACGGTGCTGAATGCAGGCAGACGGAACCGGCCAGGCAGAGGCAGAGGCTGGCAGTGGGGCTTTGGCCAGGGTAAGGCAGTGTCAGCGTGTGCCAGGGGATGGAGGGTGGGCAGGTGGGGGGGGGAGTGCGGCCTCTGGGTGATCGGGGCAGCAGTTCCTGAGGTCCTAGGGGTGCGGGCTAAGCTCGTCGTGGTGGTGGAGCACGAAGGCAGGAGGAATCCACCCCAAGGTTGCCTGTGAGCCATGTACCCGGCTGGAGCAGAGGAGGCCAGCAGCTTGGGTTTGCAGGGATGTGAAAGGAGACCTTTGGGGACATCTGGGGAGGGAAGAGGCAGTGAGCAGGGAGAGCCTGAGCTTGGGCACTATCTGAGAAGGGGAACAGGGAAGAGGAGACCACTGCAGGGCTGGGGCGGGAGGCAGGCTGGGGAGAGGGAAGGAGCCACTGACCCATGCTGCAGTGGACTACCAGGGCCCGGTGGTGGGAGAGGCCCTGGGGTGGCACATGCAGTCAGGGCCTGGGCTGGGTCCCCGGGTGGGTACGCGTGGACACAGGGCTGGCAACCCTGCTCAGAGCCTGAGCACAGAGATGGGCAGTGGGGTGTGGTGAACTCCTCTCCTCCACGCCTGCCTGTGTCCCTTCCCTGCCCTGTGAAGGAGACACTTGGGGGACCCCAGAACCTAGAGCCTGGCAGCTCCCTGCCCCATAGCCAGGCATTTTTTTTTTTTTTTTTTTTTTTTTTGGTCTTTTTGAGACCAGAGCTCACTATGCAGTTTAGGCTGGCCTTGAGCTCACTTTGTAGCCCAGGCTGGCCTCCTAATTCGCAAAGATCCTCCTGTCTCAGCCTCCTGAGTGCTGGGATCACAGGAGGCACGTGCCACCATGCCCAGCTAGGCTTTGGCTTTTATATCTGCTCCTCCTGGCAGTGAGGTCCGCCGTAGAGGCTGGAGACCGTTTCCGATTTCTTCTTCCCCTCTTTGCTGTCCTCTCCTCTCACTTCCTGCGTCTCTCCCCTCCCCTTCCCTCCCCTCCCTGGCTTCCTCCCCCTCTCCCTCTCATCCCTGGCGTTCCCTCCTTCATTTTTACTTGCTGCTTTGCATTTTTCCTTCCTGTCTTCCTTTCTTCATTTCCCCACTGCTTTTCCTTTTGAGACTTCATAATCATTTCAAATCAGGTTTTTCTAATTTTTTTTGTGTGACTTGATTTCAGACTTATAAAAAAAGTCATCCATAATTAAAAAACAAGCAAACAAATAAAAAACCCTAACAGAATGGTTTTAAGATTGTGTGTGTTCAACACAGTGACACATGTTGACATAGGTCTATGTGTTTTTTCTGTCTGTCTGTCTGTCTGTCTGTCTCTCAGTTAATAAAACTAAAAGCAACGACTTTTGGCACTTTTCTCCCACCGCCAGATGAATCTCAACCACACCGAGGAGGTGCTCGAAGAGCTGGAAATCCTCCAGCAGCAGCCGCATCTCTGGGCTTTCTTGCTCTCACCGCCAAGACTAGGAACAAACAGGGTTCGCTTGGGAGATGCCGCACAAGCCGTGGAGCACCTTCTCCGGGCAGCTTTAAAGTAAGCGGAAAAGTAAACTACAATTAAGTGCAGGTGTTGATTTTTCTGCTTATTTCTAGTGGGAAAACACACATCACTGAATCATTGTTTGATAAAAGAAAAACTCCACAGAGATGTGTCCTGCAGACACTTGGGGCCCTCGCCCTTGCGCCTCTGTCCCCCGCCTGTCTGCGCACGTGTGTGTGAGAATCTGGGACCACGCTTCTTGTCAGCTGCCAGCCGACGTGCTGCTTTGACTTTATTTTCCTTTTTCCAGTTCTGTAGCATCTCTGGACAATCTAGATTGGCTGCCACGCAACACAGAGCTCTCCCAGGTCTCTGAAATCATGCTGAACGCGACCATCTCAGCGCTGGCTTTCCTGCAGCAGCCTGGAGGATGGGCCACTGGTACGTGCCCTGGGGGTACTGCGGGGTCGTGATGTCCCTTGTCTTCAAGGTAGTGACATCAGCCTGGGGCTGGGATGTGCTACCCAGAGAAGCGGGTCAGTTATAACACCCAGAACAGGCAAGAGTCACTCACGCTAAATTAAGAAAGGGCAGCCGCAGAAGGAGAATTGGGAGCTCCAGGCGGAGCTGCCCCTCTGCCCCGCTGGAATCCTGCAGGTGTTGCGCAAAAAGGGATATTTGGAAAATTTTGGAAAATGACCCATGAAACTGTACTTCCGATTTGATTTGAAACTGTCTCATTGCTATCTGTTTATCAATAAAACTTTGAGGGGCTGGTGAGATGGCTCAGTGGTCTAAAGCACGTACTTGGAACAAGCTTGGCAAAGTGCAGGGACCGCGGTTCGATCCCCCAGCACCACATGCCAGCCAGCCCCACCCCCTGGTGGGCTGAGCTGGCCACACACACACACACACACACACACACACACACTCTCTCTCTCTCTAAATAAATTTAAAAAAAAAGTGCTAAAAAAAAATAAAACTTTGAAAAAAAAAAAAAAAAGCAAGGAACAGAATCATGCTCCCAGCCACAAGGACTAAGGTAAACCTTAGGAAGATGGGGACGTTTTCCTCAACTCATAGACAAAAAGTCATAGGGTTGTAAGATCTGAGGGAAATAGCCCTTTGTGGTGCTTGAGAGTCTATACCTAGCAATGTTGGAAACAGGCTCCCAGGACAGAAATAACCACCAGGAAATGCCAAACATCAGCAGCTCATTCAAATGGAATAAACTCTGCAGAACCCAGCAAGGACCTGCATAATGTATAGCTGCAGCAGTACTTTAGGGAGCAATGAGAAGGAAGATGTGCACTAATGGTGTTCGGACAGGATAGCATGCCTGCGTCTTGTGCTATGAACAACCACTAAGAAGACAGCAATATGCAATATATTAATTATTGAAACTGTCCTACTAATTGGTTTTGAAACTATCTCATTGCTACTTTTTTCTCAATAAAATTATTTAAAAAAAATTGGTTTTTACAAAGGCCACCAGAAATTTGTTAAGGTAACTAAACGGAGACTCTTCAGGCTTTGAAAATTATTGGTCATGGTTCTGTTTGGTGAATAAAGGAGCAGCTACCTGGAAAGTTATGCTAGCCTATAGTCATTAATAGGAAGCCCAGTGACATTCTTATCCTTATGGGAGATACCCCAATAAATGTTCTTAATATGTATTATTGTGATACATTTACTTTGGTCAAAAGATTAAGTTTGCTATACAATGAGGTTTTTGACTTAAAGATACTCTGGCACAAAGGTTTTTTTATGGCTATGACAATTGACTGTTATTAACCTCATGGTGTATTAAATATATTCATGTCCCCCCCCAAAAAAAAAGTGATATTTGTAATTGAAAAGTAAGTTACTTGAAAACTCTTTGACTTGACGTCTTTGAAGCCTGGAGCAACCTTCCCTCTCTCTCAGAGGAAATATTGAGGAGCAATAAAGGAGCAGGGGAACGGAAATTTGATGGGGATTTAGCCACCACCTGAATAAGAAGCAGGAGAGAGTTACCTGGTGTGTGCTTCCGTCCCTCCTTCTCTTCCTCCCTCCCTCCTTCCTCCCTCCCTCCTTGTCTCCCTCCCTTCCATCACTCCTTTCTTCCCACCCTCTCCCTCTGCCCCATCCCCCTCTTTCTTGCAGTGCTGGGGATGGAATCTGGGTCTTACACATGCTATCCAAGTGCTCTACCACTAAGCAGTACTACACATTCTTTTGATGACCTAGAATATTTGTTGTGGTTTGTGTCTAGTTGTCCCTAACAGCCTCATGCAGTCATGGGGCAGGCTTCTAGACTTTGTGATTACTTCATGATCCAAGGCTGGGATTGTGGGTGTGAGTGCTGCTGGGATTATGGATGTGAGTGCTGCTGGGATTATGGATGTGAGTGCTGTTGGGATTATGGGTGTGAGTGCTGCTGGGATTATGGGTGTGAGTGCTGCTGGGATTGTGGGTGTGAGTGCTGCTGGGATTGTGGGTGTGAGTGCTCCCCTGGGGCCAATGCCTGAATATAACATAAAGGGGACAAACTTGCTGTCTGTTGCCTTTGTCATTGCTGCTGTTACTCCTCCCTTTGCTCTTGCTGTTTTCCACCACCATGAATGGGTGCTCTCTTCCATTTGCCACTCTGCCTTGGAGCTAGCCGAATATGGACTGAAGCCTCTATTAACTCTGAGCTAAATAAACCTTTCCTTCCTTAATTCCGGGTGTTAGGTATTTGTCTCAGCAATGAGAGAAAAGTAATCGAGACAATATTAGTTCTTAAGTTGTCACCTTGGCCTGGTTATTTTACTTTAAGTTTCTTCTTACTGTCTCTTTATCTGTTTTCCTAAGGGCAACACGGTGAGAGAAAAATGAAGGACAATTTTCTACCATTCCATTCATCCATTTGTCTGTCCATCTGCCCCAGACATCTGTTTACCCACCCGTCCATCAAATCATTCACTCACCACCCATTTGATCACCTGCTCCTTAATCCACCAACCCACCCATCCACCCATCCATCCATCAGTCCATCCATCCATCAATTCATCCATCCATCCATCATCCATCCACCTACCCATGCGTCTATCCACTATCCACCATCCATTCATCCACCCATCCACCCACTCACCCACCTATCTGTTCATCATACATATACTTACTCATCCATCCATCCATCCATCCATCCATCCATCCATCCATCCATCCATCCACTGACTCCATCTATTTATTCATCCCCTCATTCAGTAGATACCCACTGACACTTTCTATGACCAAACATTGCCCAGGCATTGGGAATTCACAGTTGAGTATGACATGGCTCTTGCCCATCAGCAAAATCCTGCTTTGTAAAGGAAGGAGATAACTCAACAAAGGAAAACAAAGGCCAGGGGTAGGGATCTGAAGGCTTCCTCAGGAAGAGCTTCTGGGTGGAGTGTTGAAGGATGATCCTTGTTCATCAAAGATTCAACGAATGATTGAATGGAATGATTCCCCATCAAGATTGCCCTTGAAGGAAAAGGAAAGAGAGTATGGCTTGTGGGCCTTGTGGAGGCCGAGGCTGCTGGCCATTTGTTATTTCTGGGGTGTAGTGGGGTGTGGGAGGGGCTCAGAAAAGGTGCTCAGGTCAGGTAACAGTGGCAAACAGAGCGGTAGTGGGCATGGTCCTGGGCGGGTGAGGGGTGCGTGACCCGCAGGCAGTCCTGGTGCCCAGGTGCTGGGCGTGAGTCCTCCGTAGGCTGCTGATGTCCAGAAGCGCAGGCTCCTGAGTTCTGGAGGTGCTCGCTGCACAGCCATGATGCAGGGAGTCTGCTGCAGGACGCAACCTGACAGGATACGTCTGCTGCCCAGCGCCCCCTCCTGGCTGTGACCCAGCCCCGGGAGACCCCTTGAGGGTCTTTGCGTGCTCTGTGGGATGGCACTCAGACCAGTACCAGTCACTCAGCTCTCACCCCGCGGCCCAGCAGGAACGACTGTTTCTCATCTGCAGAACAAACCTGAGAGGAGGCAGACAGGCGGCACACCACACTGAAATTTTCTCAGTGACCTCAATTACAGCAAACTCATTTGGAAGCTCAGAGTTTTGTACAGCATCCAAATTATAGTGATCAATTTACTTTACAAGGGGCTGCGCAATTACTGCTAAGAATGTAATTAAAATATACAGCCTGCTCTGTCCTTGCCAGCAAGTTAGAGGCCAGGATACGCAAGACAGACATCTAGAGGCCACACCTCCCTGTCTTCATCCCTGTGGTCACCAAGAAGGTTCTTTTTTTTTTTATCTTTTATTTTATTATTTATTTTTTTTCAAAATTTT